TTTTTCAGATAAAAACAAATACAATATTTTTTTAAATCACATTTGCATTAAGACTGTACCTGAGCTTGCAGCTGTGCAGCTATAACTGTCACTGTTACAAGGTTGAATAGCAAAGTACAGCTCTCACCTGCTCTGTTTGGAGCTGTTTCTCCACCACCTGAGGGATCATGGCATGGCGTCCAGGTATCCAGGGCAGCGAAACATTCACAAACTCCATGTCTTTCGTCTGGAATACATTCTTCACTCCTGGAGAGGGGACATGATTGACTTTCACTTTAATTTCTGCTATTAGTCTGAGTTATAGTTTTATTTATTTACATACAAAAATGATATTCTGACAGGCTCAAGGTCCTGGAGATTCCTGCTACACCCACCTAAAACGTCAACGTCCACTTTGAAGTTGATAAAATGAGTGTGGATATTTCCAGTGACATTTTCTGCCACTTGATGACCGAATGGAAAATTGTCCTTCAATGCAAAGGAAGAGGCGATGTAGCCGGTGGCGTGTACCTTGGCCTCTACTGAGCCACTCTGGTAGAAGATGAAATCCCACATGTAGTCATAGTTTCCTATAGCTGTGATTGTCCTGAACACTAAGGCGGTGTTTGCTAGTCCTCCGTAACTGTTGAAGACAATCTCTGAGAAGTGCCTCCGTAGAGGTTGGCCCATGTCATGCTCAAAGACGCATATTGAGTTTCTGAGTCGGCGTGGAACACCAGTGTCCAGGAAATGGAAAGTGTCTATGTAAGTGGCTGAATAAGGGCAGTCGACCCCCCTGACCAACTCATAAGCACATTTACCAATGCCCAAGCTGCCGTCAAGGTATTTGGTGAGCATGAGATTTGGCGTGACGGACCCGTAGACTGACATGGCGTCTTGAACACTTAACTCATAGATGATCCTCTCTCCTCTGAAACGAACATCAAAAGCCTCTAAGCGGGCTCAGACCAAAGGCAAAGCTCCAGTCAAGGTATACAATGTGGTTGTTCTTCACACTGAATCGCTTGCCTTGTACATGAAACTGCTGGGGTCCAATTCCTGTGGGTTTCTGTCTGGGTTTGAGTGAGGCGTAATTAGGCACAGGTTTGTAGATGATTTTCTTCACGGTTCCTGCCTCGTATTGCTGCTTCAGTTCCATTATACTGTCAATGTACTGACCATTATAAAGCACTTTCATCACACACCAGGACAAATATTTGGTGCTTTGGTGGTTGAATAACATCTCAAAGCCCACAGGATGAATGTAGTAGCCCTCCTCATTTCGATACAGTGAAATCCAGGTCTCTCTGTCCCCTGACTTGACTCCTCTGGGCATGCCGTCGTAGTAAGCAGTGTAATCAGATGCCTCTAAACCGAAACTGTCCTTCAGCAGCGTATTGACTGGTTTAAGTACATCTTGCAGAAACATTTCTATAAGAACCCCTTCCCCAAAATGTACCGGACGTGCAGTCAAAGGGATCTCCCTTTTATATCTCTCAAAGGTGACATCGCACTGGTAGGACGGGTTGGGGAGAGGGCCCACTACATATTCCTTTATGTTGTTATTCGTGCCATGAAAAACCACTGCGGTTGCCTCTCTTGCTGGTTTAAGCCCGTTGGTATCCAGGTAGTGCAAAATATCCTGTTTAATTGGCAGGGAGAGATCGATCATATAGAGGTAGTCAGCTGAAGGAGGTGTAGATGGATCAGTTGAGATGTTCATCCCCGGCATCTTGGACATGTAGTCATGCACCTGTAGGAACTCTTCCACAGAGAGGTCAGCGAAGACGTTGCTGCGCTCGTCGTGCACCGCAGGTTGGACTGTCTTTACCGGTTGAGCAGGGCACTTTGGAGTGCGTTCGGTGTTGAGCCATAGCAGGACACAGTTGCCTAGGCAACAACTACGAGAACCAGAAGGCATTTGAAGATCTTGGAAATAGTTTGAGAGACCATTTCTCTGCAGCTGTACAACAGTTATAGTTGGGGAGAGGAGATGGTAGCTGTTTAAGGAGATTGTGTAAAGGGGTGTGGCCACAGATTTTAAAGACTGCTTTTACAACTTGAGAGATGTTTCTTTTGATAAGAGCGGTAGTAACACAAGTACCCATGTATAAAGTTGCTGTGAAGATTATTGGGTATCATTAAAGAGACAACAATACATTTAGGTAGCAAGAACTTTGGGATTCAGGCAAGCAATTATGTGAAACAAGTTTTTTCCAATCCCATTTTCTGAATGTTTAAGCTAAAACCTACAAGTGGTCATATTAGCGATATTAGAAAAGCATTGACAATAAACATATTTTAGCTATAGGGGTGGTAATGGTGCTGGGATGGTCAGTTAACCATTTACTGAAATAGGTCAACAAATATTGAATGAACTCTACGAACTTTGTCCAGATATTCTTGGTGCCCAGTGAGTGAATCCTAAAAACGGATCACCCAACTTTTCATAAAGCATGTCTTCATTGTGACTTAGAATGTCTCAAAAACTTATAAAATGATTATGACCTTTATTACAGATATTCAAGGTCTACAGATGATGAACAACGTTGGTGACGCCCTGACTATTCATCTTGTGGCATGATCAGGTAATGATTGTGTAGTTATCCAACATAATATCTCATCACCTACTCTATGGGCAGACACAATATCGATCCCCTCACTTTTCATCCATTGCCATCATGAGGACAAAATCACCGAGTTATTTAAGTGCATGTAAACACTGACCTGCTAGCTACAGGGAAAATAAAGAACATCTAAGTTGTTTTTCTTAGTTGTTTGATGGAACATGTGGGGGCAGACCAGGACACAAAGGCTGTAACTGCTGTGATAAGATAAAATAAGATAAGCTGATTGTAAAAATCAACGATGGCATTGATGTTTGATTGAAGATCTCTACCCTAACAAACTGCATGTACGACAGTAAAATGTTCAAAAGGGCCGTTGACTTTATTGACTATGTGTGTAAACGCTTAATTGTGTTATAGATCAATAGATACGAGTCAACAACTTCAACTGAGATTTCCAGATGTCATCACAATAACTGCTTGATTGGTGTACAGTAAGCATCAGCACTCCCATCAAACAAAACAATATCATTTATCAGATACAAATACAAGGAAACGTGATTACCAGAATCCTTTAAAAATATAGATTTTTACAAATCAAAAGTGTGTGTGTTGTATATTCCCTTTTATTTACATAAAATCTGTGGTTTATGTTGGTATTTTAGTCAGGCACCCTTCTGTCTGGATCAGGGTCTGTGTGTGATTCAGGTGAGATCGGGGGTTATATCCGTAACCATCAGTGCGCTGCAGCCGCAGAACCTACATTTTCATGTACACGAGTAATCCGATTCATTTTGAAAAGTCAGCTTTTTAAAAACCAACATGGCTCAGTTCAAAATGTAGTAGTTCATGAACACCTACAATGGTGTTCATGAAGGAAGAAACATTCACAGTTCAGTCAGTTCATTCAGGGGACATGTCGTATGAGGTCAGAAGAATGAACTTTAAGGCCCCTAGGTGCACCCTGTGGTTATTCATTACGCACAACATAAACTCAACTGATAAGCATCTTAAACTTTTGACTTTGTACCCATTATTTTTTAACCCTTTTAGATTATATTCTCAGTAATATTGGGGACCTACTTAACAATAAATGTGAAGAAAATGTATTTTTATATTGAAAACCAATCATCCTTTCTTCCTGTAAAACTAAATATGATAGTGTGCTCACGTACCAAGCGATGTCATCCGTTTATCAATCAATCTGCAACTTTAAGCAACAAGGGAGGTGTGTGTGGAGTCACAGTTCATTGTAGCTCCATGTCGCGCTACATTCTAAGCCCGATCTCTTTTAGCCGCTCAATCAAAGCCAAAGGATTTGATTCATATCCCTCAAATATTCTTTCTCACTGAGGAAGACGTTGCACTACAGAAGCTAAAGACGCTCTAACTTCCATTTCACGGGCCCTGTCTTGTAGAGGGTCCCTAAAATCTAGTAAACACATTTTTGATATTTTCAGCTGATGTAATGCATGTGTACTCCCAGTCGAAGTGTTATCAAACAATAGAGAATGAACAAAAGACAATTTGGACAGGTGGGGTGGAAACTAGGGGCCCCACAGCAAATTTGTGCCCCAGGGCCTCCAAGTAGGTTAATCCGGCAGCGGCTTTAAAGACCAATCTGTGAATTTTAAGTCATATCCAGATTTGCACTTCTGGTTCCATCATCTCAAAGTGTTTTGTTCTATGACATAACATACGTCAGTAAACACCGTACTCCTGAATTAAGCTTTACGGTGGGTCCTAACAAATGGCTAAATGGGACATTAAATGTTACCATACCGACTAGTCTTTACAGCCTCGGGTTCATATCTATGTATTTAAGTGTAGATTGAAATACATCCCACATTACTACCTAACCTCAATCGACACCCCTCACTCCCCCATCAAACGGATCATGCATAAATGGACCCGAAGGTACACACACTTACTTTGGTAGACCCTTTTATACTCCTCAGTCTAAACCTGTTACTTTCATCAGTGTCTTTTCTAAACAATACAAATAGTTCATATCTTTGCATTTTATGGAACTTTTGTGTTCACTAAATAGAGTCACAAGGGTATTTCAACAGGTAAAAAGTGATTGTACTGCATGTGATCTAATTCCAGTTGTTCAATACAATGCACTGCTATCTGTAGTCTTCTGGGGGTTGTGCTGTAGTAGTCAGATATATGGCTGGCCAACATATCAATATGATCATATTGTGATAGGAGACTAGATATCGTCTTAGATTTTGGATTGAAGTGCTTTGGACAAATAGTTTCCTTGTCTTTTTGTTTCCCTAGACAGTGTTTGCTTCTTAAGTGCAGAGGGAGGCAGGACACTGGAGAGACTCCAGATGTTACATGTCCAGAGTTTAATCTGATTAAAAGCAAATGGGATCTAGTCACTTCAGGACTGAGAGTGAATACACCTCGCCATGTTTCTCATAGAAAAAAAAAAGGCTACACGAGTTGCATTCCAATTTATTTGTTTGAATTTGTTTTAACTAGACTTTTGGACAAAGTAGCAGCCCTTACCTGGTCTGTTCCTTCATTCCTTTATACGCTTAAAGGCTTCAAATTAAATCACAATTTGCATGCACTTTAAAGACAGTCCCCGACTTCACTGTCAGCCCCCGACTTCACTGTCATCTTCCATAGAACAGTCGAGCTGCAAAATAGTTTTAAAAGCACCAGGCTTCAGTATCGCTTCATGAGGTGAACACAATACAAAACATTGTTACATCACAATGAATCTGGTGAAGATTGAAGACTGAACTGTTGAAGTGAACCCAGACACTCATGCTGTATTCTAAAGCGTTTGACAAAACACTTCTAGTTCCAGTACAAGCCTGCTTGATCACACGAGACAGATACACGGAGGCACATTGTTGAGTTTGCATTCTTATAGAAGAACAATCATCCAGCAAGTTTCCAACCCTTCATGCACACTGTAGCACACTGCTGTCTGTCAGTGCAGACCAGTCACAGTGTCCCAGGTTCAATGTGTGTATGGACCTCCAGTGTTTCTGTTTTTTCTTGGGATGCAATCGTGTATTCACGTCATTGTGATGCAAAGATGCTGCAAGTGCAAGACAAAAGAAAGTGGAGTGGGCAGGGGGAGAAATAAAGACGCAAGAATCCTCCATTATGTCTTTATAAACTGTACAGTCAAATGTGTGTGTCAGGATAACTACAACACTAAAGCTACACAACTACAGCTGTTTTCTGAGGCCCAGAGGAAAGCGGTCTGCATCCTATGTGAGTTGATGGTCGCTTAACAGTTTGACAGTCAACCGAGAGAGAGCTGAACAAAGAAAAACCTCCCTGTGGGGGTCAGGCAACATGGGGCCAAAAACAACAAAACCATTTAAGAAAAGATGATAAATCCTGGGAGAGGAACAGCATCCGGGGGTGGGAGAGCAGCAGGAATCTCTGAGCTTCGGTCCCAGTGGAGCAGATGGGAGGACGGCCATGGGGGCGGTCTTTGCTACAGCAGCTTGCAGTCGGGATAATTATGGGAGAGGAATTGTCCGAGGTCAGATTCCAGAGTACTGGAAAACCCAAACTGAAGGTAACATGTCAGAAAGCATGTGGATGACTGCAGAGTAAGGACAAATAACTAAAAACAAAGATGGAGGTGTGTGTGTGTGTGTGTGTGATTTTTAAATGCATTTTCATGGCTTCCTCTACATCATATCATGTATCATGTTTACAGCTCACTATGGTTTCACATATTGAATTGTGAGCACAGTTATATTTCAACTTTTCAATACTGAATATCAGCACACCATCCGTCCAAAGGCAGCCTCTCATTTGACACTTCATGAATTGTCTTCAGGTTGTAAAACCCCAAAACCATCAGGTACTCCAGAACAACAGCGAGAATAATTGGTCATGTACGGTTTGACTGAGCTCAGGTATTGTGTGTGTGTGTGTGCGTTTTGTTGTGTAGAGGTCATCAGTAAAGAGCTTCAGCGTTGCTGTTTCTGGGTTTCTTGATCTTCTCAATGTTCTTCAGGATCATATCGTGAAGAATCACCTGAAAGCAACAAGCAGACGTGTTAAACATGGTGCAGGTCACACCTCACTCCAGCAGCGAAGGACAGTTCCGCTAAATACAGCTCGGGTCTTATTTCCATTGTTTCTGTCTGTAGCATAGACTTTATATAAAGATGGACGACATCGACAGCTCCTCAAAAGTGAAGCCAAAACACGATTGTGGCTGGCTGCAGTACAGGTCATGAGTCCCATGACGGTTTACGGTAGTTCTCATGGCGCTGGTGGATCTTCAACTGTTGGAAGCTATAAAAATGGGGTGTGATGTCATGATTGACAGCTGCGTGGAGCCGGTGGCTCTGGCATTGTCTGTAAGGTAAGACCATAACATAACTTTCACTTTCCATAAGCGTTATTCTCTGTTACCACCATAGTCTGTATATGGTGATCTTTAAACACTAGATACTATGGTTCATGAGTCACTGACCAGAGGTCGAGCTGAGGTTCGGGTTTCACTGCGGGTATTTCACATGGATAACTCCATAATGTAGACATCAGGCTCTTCCTGCATGAAGTCACTTTTGACGCTTGTGTGGACGAGGGTTTAATAAGACAAACTCACATATTGATTCCTGAGCTCTGAAACGATGATTTTCAAACTGATGTACTCCTTCTCATCGATCTCTGTGATAGTTCTCCTGTAGTCCTCCTGCAGAGTGGAGACAAAGACACTTAATCACAAATACAACCAACCTGCTGCTTCTCAGAGACGAGACAGACTACGCGCGCTACCCACCACGTGAGGGTACTTGACAATTTTGGAGACGAGCTTGGCTCTGGTGATGTAATATCTGGAGATCTGGTCCAAGTAAGACGCTGCCTCGGACTCCACCGTCCTCAGCTCTGCCACCGTCTCTTCCTACAGACACAGAGGACACATGAGACAAACAGACATGGTGGAAGCGGACACACTGAAGCTGAATCATTGTTACACGTGGACACACACTTCTTCAGTGGCTGAAGATTTCAACCTAAAATTGTCTTCATCTGACTTTGTTTCACCCATAACGTTATTTTGATAAAGCAAAGATAATGACCATTCCCTTTCGTTTAGCTCATTTCCTTTCTAGTTGTATAGAATGAGCTCCTGTGTGGTCTCTGTGGGTTGTGATCCCTGCAGATTGTTATTCAGCAGTTGGTCTCAGAGTTTAACTCCTAAAAAAGAGAATCGGGGCAACAAGCTTCCACCGGCGTCTTGGTGGAACCAGATGACTGCCCCATGTATAGAATGCAGGTCGCTGCCTCCTCTCTAATAAACACCAACGAAGAAGACATCGGTCCAACCTTCTACCCTGAGCTTTGTCCACTGTGAATCTAAACCCCAGACATTACTTCTGGTGTAATGATCACAGGTGGAGCATGTCAGTGCTGCCCCCCAGTGTGGAACACAGGGACTGCAGAAACAGCCTCCCTTCACTGTCACCGTTAGATAAAGAACGAGAGTAAATACTGGAGAGTAAAGCCAATGAGAATCAAGCATTGTAGTGATGTGTTATGTAGTAATCTGTTCAAAATGGTGCAACTTCAATCTAGTTCATGTTAGACTCATTAAAAGGATTCTACCTAAAGTTAGAGTCTCTTTGGCAGGCAGGTGTGGATTCTGAATATCATCCACAGTATATAATAGCTGGACTTCCACCGCTTGTGTACTTTGTGGCCATAGTGCCAACGTGATGGGTATTTTCAGGTTAGTTTTTTTTTGATAATTTCTGAATTATTTCTCCTAAAGTTTCCTGGAATAACCAGCGTCATTTGATGCTTGTTACAGTGAAAAGAGACAAAGGCTGCCTCTAAAAAACATATATATACTTATATTCTATTTAGTACTCTAAAACAGTATGTGACATTTTTACAATTTCATGCTATGTTTTGTGACATGGCTTATGTTGGAGCCTAACATGACTCCGCCATGACTATTAAAATGAGGAAGACAGGTAGTGCTGCACTGGGTCAAGACAGTCAGTGTTGGGAGTGTTTTCAGCTCATAAAAAACAATGTCCAGTTTATGTAAGAAAGAATTGCTTAGTGTTAGTAGGCAGTCGGATTAAAAACTCTTTAATAATTGGACATAATTAATATAATAACTTTTAGCTTACAATCAGATTGCCTCTGATGATTTAGAGACTGCCGACTAACACCAAGGACTTTTATTTGTACCTTATGACTGTTCCAATGTTCTGTTGTGTAAGTATCGTTGTGGACATCTCAGTGGTGTTAGCTCTTGTGAAACCTTTTCCACAGTTTGGATAGATTCTGCTCATGAAGAGCCCTCGGGTTGAACATTTGTTCAGGACTTACCAAGACTGGGATGAATAAATATCAATGTACTTAGAACAAAATTAGAGTGAATTAATTGCAAAACACTTTCTCTATTTTACCAACAAATGTCTGTACTGAGAAATGTTAGCCTCTATTATGTGAAACATATTTTTCCAGATGACGCAGTCAGTGAGGACTTACCTGTATGGAGACTCCAAAGTTATTTCCATCTTCTATTCTGGGGATGAGCAGCTGGACCCACATCTTTACCTGACACAGTAGAGACAAGATGATGAGCGGATGTTTCTCAGTGCACACGACACATGGCACAAAGATGTCATTGAACGATGTCACAGAGGAAACTGGTGACAGGCGTCTGATACATTAAACTATTTCACAATAGTTGTAGTGAGAAACAATCTGAACCTCCTCCATGTCACATTGACACATTCACGCGTCAGAGCTGAACAGCAGAAGCAGCTGTTTCCTTATCCTGATGCATTTTAAGGTCCTTGGTCGGGCACCTTGGCAGCACCTAAAAAGGATGCTACTGATCCACTGTGCACACAAACGCGTGTGAGCTCTGGTGTGTTTGCCTGTTTTTCTTTTTTTTCCGGCTGGCACTGAGACCTTAAAAAGATCTGCATTCAAACAGATACATCTTACATATATATTAGTGCTGGGCAACGATTAAAATATTTAATCGCATGGATTTCTTGCGATTAATCGCATTGTTATGGCAAAGTTCAATAATGAATTCAAAAGTAGTGTATTGCGCACTTTTATTTTAAAAGTACTGCTATATGAACAAAAGGGCAATACCATTTGGTTTGCACACTATTTGCAGTATTCTCTTTACACAGTAGCAGTTCTATCTCTTCACTATCTGTGCTCAGTGTGTGACTGTATGTGAAACGTTCCACTGCTGTGCAACATGAATAAAATGTTTCAACACGTTTCAGCTAAAATGTGTGTCTTCATGACAGTCAGAGCATGTGAATGCAGCTCTACTGTTCATCAATATAATGCTGTAACTCCGAGGTGATGATGGTTACTCAGCGATCAAAGAATAAAGACACTTTACCCACAATTTAGGTGTATTTTCCCTTTAACTCACGGGATACAGCATGTTTTATTCTTAATGTGAATATAATTCATACTTTGTTGGCATCTTATTCTGAAAACCGGATGTTCGTCTGGAGAAACCGGATGTTGTCTCACGTTAATCTTTCCGCTAGCTTTTGTGGTCCTTCGCTCGCTCCCGATCTGTGCCGTTTACCGTGAATTTCAGCATATAGGTGCACTAAAGTGTAAGTGTCTGCTGAGTTGACCACGGAGATCTGAGTGTCTGCTGACTTTACCGCAGCGATGTCCAGTAGTCTCAAATTCCTCCGCCGCTGCCAGTGAGCAACGGACTTTCAAAATAAAAATAAATAAAACAATGCGTTAACGCGCTGTACAATAATTGTCGGCGTTAATTAATGAATGCGTTAACGCGATAATAACGCGTTAACTTGCCCAGCACTAATATATATATATATATCCTGTAAGAACAGCAAGAAGTATCTGATTAGCTGATCTGAGATCACCTTCAGGCTCTCAGGATGTTAAGACATCTATAAAACTCTGAGGTCAGTCCAAGTTGTGCTTCAGAAGTACCACATATCGCATGAGTCAGCTGAAAGCAATCATTAAAGAGTTAAGTTACTGCTAATGCAAACGCAACGCAACCTGCTGCTGCTTCACATTAAAAGCTTTCCACTGGCGAAGGAGAACCAGGCTTTTATTTTGGCAGGGAGCTTAGTGGAGCTTTGTTAGCAGAGCTTTTCTTCAATAAAGACGGGTCTACACAACCAGATATGGGCCTTTTCTGTGTGTGTGTGTGTGTGTGTGTGTGTGTGTGTGTGTGTGTGTGTGCGTGTGTGTACGGACACTTACTGTGTTACACTTCTCAATCAATGTCCTGATCTCTGGTTTGACTCGTTCAATCAGGTCCACCAGCTTGGTGTTGCATTTCAACATCCCCTCTGGCACCACCACGGTTTTGGTTCCCCCTGGAACCAAACACAGCGTCCACAGTTACAAACTCCTCTTCACATCAGAGACTGACGGTCCTGCTGGGTCGAGTTCTCACACTCATGATTTGAGATCAATACAGGAGTCTGTGGATGGTCCGGGACATGCAAAGCCAGCTGACTGTGGTTATTCTGCTGACTGTGCACTGTGCTCAGCGGGCACTTCACCACTGGTAAGGCAGTCCTTTCATGATCATCATTTCATGTAGGTGTGGTTAAAGTGCTCAGAGTTGGGCAATATGACTTATTCACGTAAAAATAAACACAAAATGAATTTCTATTATAAAACTGTGAACAAACACAAACAATCTTTTGAAGATCTCATCTTTAGTTGTTACCTTGCCAGCTCTCATCAGTGACTCCGTCCTCTAGTTTCCTCTTCTTGGTGTTCTGCAGCACAGACAGATGACGGCAGTTCATAGGAGCAATTAATCCAGAGTGAAATATCTCAACAACTACAACAGACTGTCATGGACCGTTCTATGGACATTTGTGATCTCCATAGAACGAGTCCTACTGACTGTGGTGATCCTCTGACATCATCACAATCTCATTTAGGATCGTGAACATTTTCAATAAGGATTTTTTTTTTAACCTTTTGAATATTACATAGAATGCAAGAATGCTATTGGCTGATCTGGAGGCAGGCTTAATCTCAAGTTCACAGACAAGAGGAGAAAGGTTTGTGCTGGGACTGTAATGCTATCTAGTTATGGAACATGAGCCCACGGGGATAGATGCCATTTGCCGTGTCTGACTTGTCCCGTGTGCCACTGTCGCTAGATAACGGCAATGGCCTTATCTAGAGCCAGTGTTTGGTCTGTACGTGGTGGGCTACTGTAGAAACAGTTCTCCCACTCTTAGTGCTGATGCCTCACGTTTTATCGCCTGTATCGTCAATTTTGTCTGATTGCAGCTCATAAAAACTTCTATTATTTACCCTGTTGGTAGTACGTCCCATCACAACGCAGCTTTTAGGCATTTTTCTGTTGTTTTTAAGCAGAAAAAACAGAAACTCTATGTTGATACTTTATAAATTTCCAAGTTAGAGGCACTTAAGCCAAAGCTCTAGGGTTGAGTTGCTCTTTGTGGTAGTGGGCGTGGTCTGTGCTCAGCTGCAGAGCAGAGATGTGTGGGAGTGGTTCAGGGGACCAGTGCCAGGGTTAACTGGCCCAGCTGTAACCTGTTGCTAATCATCCCTCATCCTGTTAAGCAGCAGCAGGCTGGAGCTCTGGTGGCCGGTGACACAGAGAGGAACACCAGCCCGGGAGAAGCGGACTGGATTGTGGACGCTGGAGCCGTTCACGTCACACAAACAAACAGGAAATGATCTGCGATTTAAAATGCTACAATAAATTCAAGGAGAACATCACTGCAATGACAGTCTGAGGTAGGAGTTTTGGTTTTACATGTTCTTTTTGAGTCCTGATTTAGGTCCAGACACCACACTGCTATTTGTTTCATATTCCCTCTGGTAGTCGTGGTGCTCACAAACCCTGCCACACTGCTTTTGTTCTTTTTAAACTGTGTGAGCGTCAGTGATTCGTTCTGTTTTGAGCTCATTACTCTGAGCCTCTGAGGAACTAGGCCGCATACCTCTGTCACATATCTCCTTTATGCACGGGACACTTCTCAGCATGGAGTAAGGAAGTGCTGAGGAGGTCCACATGAACCGTAAACCTTCTGTCTGTAATCCAACTAATGGACTCAACAGCTCCGCTTCATACTGATCTGCTACATTCAAAACATTCATTAAATGCATCTACTGCAAGTCATAGTCATACTGTTAGAGGTACTCTAGCTAACATCTGTGGAACTTCCATAAAGTTGGGGGACATTACAAGGATGATGCAGGTCTCTGCTGTCATCCTGACTTCTGGTACCAGGTATGGATCAAGCTCTAAAAAACACTGGCCACTAAATTACCCACAATGCAGTGTGTACAAATGGGTGATCAGAAAAGAGACCCAAATGAATAAAACTCGCTAGTAAGGAGCCACTGTCCATTGTTTCAGTGCAGTGTTTATAGAGCAGTTCCACTGAGGGTGAATCTGGTGTGCATCTTCAGAGACAGTAAATCTTATTGAGTGATTGTGTGTTGTATAGATTTTATGTGTTCAACTGCATCATCTTAAATCACACATTATTTGTATTTCTTTGCGTACCTCTGTGATTACCAACAGATCGCTCAGAGCCTCTCTGATACCACGTCGTCGTGTCTGGCTCACGCATTGGATTTTGTTGTAGTTTAATGCTAATAACAGGATCAACAGGACGCCAAAAAAACGAAATGATGCCGATCTGAATTCATGCTTCTGCAGGTCTGTCGGCAAGACAAACTGTTAAAATGCTGCTTTCTGAATGGAGTTCTGATCGATCAGAGCTGGACTATGCTAACACTGAAGCTGCTCCATCGACACTCAGTATAACGTCATCCAGGCGTAAATACAGAAGCAACGTCATTGTCTATTCAACAACGTGAGGAGAGTCATCAGTGATGGGCTTCAATAAGTGATCCACGCAAGTATGCAGAGTTAGTCTTTTGATAAAAACCATTAGCTGAAGCCTAGATTTCTTTAGTTAAATGTCTTTTATTAATCATTAAATATTATACTTCCTGTAACCATTCTGGGGCAACAGCTGTCGCCATCTTTACAGTTACCATGGTTACAGGTGTTGACCTCATCTGTTTACACTGGAATGGTTCATTCTCCACTCGTCATTCTTTATAATTCATCATTTTTCAAATGACTCTTCATTTAGTTAAGCTTGACCTGCGTTTGTCATATGGCTGAAATTCCACGAGTAGGTCACCTGACAACAACTGACCCATCTCCATGACAACTGCCCCCTAAAGAGACCAAGAGATGTGTCTGGAAGCGACCTGGGAACCCATCGGCTATCTGTCCGACGACCACTATTCCTGGGGATCCGGTACAACCAGGGGATATCCTGGCCACGACTTTCCCTTCAGTGCACCGGTCAACAGTTTACAGTCTGAGACGCAGGACAACATCTACAACCAGATGTTGTGGTCACGCAATGGGTGAGGAGCTCCCAGAATGCATTTCGGCCAATGAGTTCCGCCTGTTTTGCTCTCCACAAAGGAACTGTTTACGTTCATGCAACCAAAGACCGCTGTAACGTGATTGGTCAATACTACTCAGCCCACTAATGGTGCCTACAGCGTATGATTCACACTCTGTTTACACCTTGTGGTGAGAATTCTGTCATCATGATACTTTTTCCTTTAGTTTTAGTCAACCAACGATTTCACCAGTTTTGGGAACCTCTGCTCCATAATGCAACCAAATCGCATCTTTTCATTTGGCCCTGCCTATCAGGTGGGTCACAGTCACATTATGACCGATAGACTGCAGACTCACCAGGTCCACGCCATCATGGCTGTTGGTGAAGAGGATGGGCTCTGGCACTTTGAACTTAACCTCTGAATGGATCTCTTTCAGGTCGACCACGTTGAGAATGGGCTCCTGCATGAAGAGCACATGGAAAAGGTTGAAAATGAACTAGAAAAGAAAATATTACAAAAGGCCTGCAAATGTATAAACACATCTCAAGTGTTTCAGGGTCACTGTTCTAGCTTCCTCTGAGCTGGTGGAGATGACAGGATACGAGGGGAAAGAGATGCTGAATATTTGAACTGGGGACATGGTGGTCTGTGATTTATGGGGCGCCCCATCATATCAAAATGTCCATAGAAATTATGTTTTTTTATTTTAACAGGTGAATAATCATAGAAGGAAAATCAGATGTGGAAACACTGACAAATACGACCACTCAATAATTATAACTGATGTTCTAGTGCTTTGTAAGATCTTCATGATTTCATTCATCAGTGGGGACCGTCTCTCCATGTAGTGGTCTTTGTTGGACCCTTTAGACCACAGCACTGGGAATCTTTTGAGGAGCTGGTTGCGTTTGAACCGCTGGGACCAGTGTCTAGATTAAGACCGGGGGACGTTTTACCCACCGGAAAGAGCCTGGTCGGGTCGGGGGCATGGATGAAAAGGAAATGTTTGACTTCCCAGCACAGAATTCAGATGAAAATAAGTGGATCTTCTGCATTATGGGGCCCATAGAGCATACACTGCAGTGTTTTCTTTAACCTGAAACCTGTCCGATTAGAACTCTGAATTGTGAAACGAGCCCTCAGTCACTTACCTTGAGAAATTGATCCAACTCCAGGAGCTTTTTAGGGAAGAAGCTGGCAACCAGGTGCTCGGCCTACAGCAGGAAAGAGGAGGGAAGGTTTCATGATACGCTGAACGTTTGCTTACAACGCTAACAGAAGGCATGAGCCAGAGAGTACACAGAGGATCAACTTGTCGGGGGAAATTCACTCACCTCACTGCTGATCTGCTCCCTGAACGTTTCCACCTGTCAACAAATGGACGGGCAGTTAGAACACAAACATATTCCTCAAGGGTTGCCCAACAGGGCGACACACCGGCTGCTTTACTAGAGCCCATATGATCATCTGATGAGAAGACTCAGCCCTACTCTGGGCCAGCCTGTGAGCATTACTGACGTTACTGTATTTACAAACAGCCCAATACAATATGTCAGCCTAATTCTAACTTGAACTATTATATCTAATATATAGTAGCCTACTAATTTGTTACAGTAATTTGAGAAGCATATACAATGTACAGCTGTACTGTATATTGAAGCAGTCAATAGAATACGACAGAAAGCGACGCTGTCAGTTTCATTAGGTTATATTCATGTAATACATGATCATCTATTGTCCTTAAAGGGAAATATGTGGAGATTAAATCATATATTGAGTTGTCATGATACACCATTACGTCTACATCAATAACCACATATTAACTCAAATTAATTACAATAATTCTGCTTACAGGAATACCACAAGCTATTGCCTTATTCGGAATACAATAGTCAGTGTATAGCTGGGAATGTACTTATTTATAGTTATATTTATATATTTCTTATAAAATTTTACTTGAAACTGTTAAATGTATTTTTTTCACGTAAGTTCTTAAATAAATGAGAAAATACGAAGTAGTTTTCTTCCGCTTTACAATAAATGGCTTTACAGTGTGTTTATTTCATATAGCAGAACGTATCATATAGCATTGTTTAGTACATTACTAGAAAACGTGCGAATTATATTGTTATCGAGATATGACATGACCTATCGATGTGACGCAATCTGCATGACAAATAAAGTAACAATACATGTGTGAACGGTAATATAATCATCCATGTATAGCAACAGACGTGATCATAAGAGGTTTCCACGGTACACGCGCAGTCATTGTAGTCACGGAGACCAGGTGGAACGTGTAGAGTGGGAGTTGAGCTCCGTGTCCAGGCCGTGGATGGACGAGGTCCAGGCCCGGAGTGTCTCCGAGGAGTCGGGCGGGCGGCTCACACACTCACCCTGGTCTTCAGGTCCCGGTCGACCTTCAGAAGAGACGACATGGCGATGAATACACGTCAAAAACCCGCTCAGTTGTCCGGCAAAGCAAAATCTTTCCACTGTGGCTCGAGCAAGCATGCAAGGATCCGCCGATGCGCCGTTTCCGCAAGCTAATGACGCAATCAAAAAGCGACACGACATTGAGTTTTGTTTTTCTCATTGGTACCGTCAGCAAGAGACCTGTAGGTATTCCCTGACGGTCAGCAGTTTATGGCACCGCCCTCCCAGACGGAGCTGGGGTGCAAATCGAGCAGACCCTTATTGACGACATTTTCTTTATTTTTTAATGGAACATTTCCACATGTTACATTAAATGATTCCAGAAGCAATAATGTAAAAACAAACGTGTAAATGCAAATATTTGCTTAAAAAAAGAATTCATAGACATATTTGAAAAACAATAAGTAAAACAGTCCATTATTTTATATACATTTCCATATGCTTTTTATGACTGTAAATCATTTAACACATTTACCATGTTGTATGTTTTTACCTTATTTTTAATGAATATATTATAAAAGCTTAAATGTTACCCTTTCAAATCAGCATTTATGGATATGTTGCAAAAGACGTTTAAACACATTTATTATATCGATTTTTATTCTGATTATTGTTATTGTTATTGTTAGTATCTATATTATTATTTATTGAATCACCAAAAGTGAGATAAGATGTAAACACAAAATAAAGAATATGACATGATGTGTATATTTATATGCTAATGGTTATATGGGTATAACATGGGGGGGGGGGGGGGGGGCTGTGGTGCTTTTATAAAACAAGGGATTCCCCATAGAGTACTAGGTATACGGAAAAAAATGGAGTATGTGGTAGTGGAAGTGTGGTTTGAAAGGAAGGAATTTGTGGTGGTGAATTATTATAATCCATGTTTGAGAATAGAATTAAGCAAATTGGAAAATATAGAAGGGAAAGATAGGGCAAGCATAGTATGGTGTGGGGACTTCAACGCACACAACACATTATGGGGGAGTGGGATAGCTGATAGCAATGGTCAAGCCACAGAAGAAGTATTAGATGAAAGGAATCTAGTCAGCCTAAATAATGGAAGTAAAACAAGGATTAATATCAATACAGGAAAGGAGTCTGTACCAGACCTAACACTAGTTTCTAATAACATTGCTGCAGTGTGTGACTGGAAAGCATATCATGAAGGAACCATAGGCAGTGATCACTACCCAATATTCTTTAAAATAAATATTCATACACCAGTAACAGAAGTAGACAGGGGTGGGAAATCTTTTTTTGGGAAAGCCAACTGGAAGAGATTTAAGGAAGAGAGTGATGGTAATCTGAGTAAGATTAATGATGATATGCCTCGAAACTCTCAATGATATGATAACAGAAGGCCTAAAGGACTAATGGAGGAAGTTTTGTGACTCAGTTGGAAATACAACAGGAGAAGTGTAGAGAGTGGAGTTATCCTGTGCTAACAACTGACAAAGAAGTTGCGGTGACTAATAAAGAGCAGTTGCTAAAGCTGGAATAACTGCCCCAGAAGATAATGAAATATGTTAAATTATAGTAAAGCATTTAAGTGGAGATGGGCTAAAGAAGTTACTGAGATTGTATACTAACGTGTGAGAGGGAGGTAGCATACCAGCAAGGTGGAAGGAGGCTGTTATTGTTCCTATAAGGAAGCCAGGGAAAGATGCAAGTAACCCATCAAATTATAGGCCAATGCTCATCTAAAAAACAAAAGTAATGTTCTTTGCGAGATGGAGAACGAGGGGAAACTTCCAGCTGAATCTTTATGACAACAAGTTAGAAATAGTAGAGTCATTTCGGTTTTTAGGAGGACACTTTGACAGCAGAAAGACCACATTAAAAATGTTAGTAATAAGTGTAAAAAAGGTATAAATGTAATGAGATGTCTGGTAGTGTTGGACTGGGGAGCAGACATTGCATCCCTGATACATTTACAAAGCTCTAATTAAATCCAGATTAGGTTATAGTAGTAGCATATGGTTCAGCAGCAGAAACCACACTTAAACAGCTAGATGTTATCCAGACCAGGGCCCTCAGAGTTCGTGTAGGTGCAGTAAGAACATCACCTGTGTGCGCCATCCAAGTAGAGACAGGAGGAATGCCATTGTGTCTTCACAGAAAACAACTGTTGGTTAATTATTGGATAAATCTGAGGGGTCATGAAGATAATCATCCAACTAGAAAAGTAATACAGGCATGTTGGGAAAGACATAAAGTACCAAAGACAAGTTTTGTCTGGATAGGAGAAGCAACAGCAAGAAGCCTATAGTCTCTGATCTAGAGCTTTGTCATTTGGCCAATAACTCCTGTGGTTGCTAAAAGAACCGGAGGTGAACATGGAGTTGCTGCAAATTAAGGTTAGACATAAAAATACAGATTTAGTGAGTGGGTTCTACTCCCCATACTCACGTGCACGTGCATGTTTTACCAATGGATCAAAAGACCCAGCTACAGACAGTACAGGCTCTGCTGTTGCAGTTCCTAGTCACAAAATTGAAATATTTAAACGCACCTCGAATTTTTTTAGCTGTGTATACAGTTGGCCCATCATTATCATTATCAGGGGAAATGGAAACGTGGACAAACTAGCCAAACAAGCACTAGACAAAAACAAAGTAGACATCTGTATCAAGTTATCCAAAGCAGAGGAATAGGAAAAATATCAACAGAGTATGGCAACCACATTGGGACCAGGAGACAAGCGGGAGACAGCAGAGTAAGATACAGGGGAGGAAACAGGAGAGGTTACAATATCAAGATTAAGAATAGGGAACAGCAATCTACGCAGCACACTACACATGATAGGGGAGCATCCAACCGGTCTCTGTGAGCACTGCCAGGCACCAGAAACTGTACAACATGTTATCACCACCTGTATTAGGCCACATCTACACTACTCCGTTTCCATTTGAAAACACATGTTTTGCTACGTTTACACTGAGCGTCCACACTACACAGAGTTTTAGAGCACCGAAGACGGATAAGTTTGAAAACGCTGGGGTTGCGTATTCATGTGGACGGTCAAAAACGGATATGTTTAGAAACGATGACGCCCACACTCGCATTCGCTACTTGATTGGTTCTTAGCAGTCATGACGTGCCCTTCCCTGATTCGTCACACCCCTATCATGTGACCCTTTCCCAGAAGATCACAGACAACAACATTGATTACCGATCGACTACCAGGTTAATTCAACATGGACAACTGATTACAGGTGTTGCTGACCTTGTTGTCTTTACTAGCAGCTGTTGTTCAGTAAAAGTCTGCATTATTACTGAGGAAGCAGATGTTATTGAAGCGATTAGTGAGCGGCGTGTCCAGCGGTGTTATCAGACCTATGGAGCGGACGTCTGAAGTCACGGTTAGCGGCTTTAGGGAGGGTGATGGACACAAAACAGAGGACTTTCCTGTCCTTATTAATGCTTATTTTGTTCTGCACATCTATTGTGAAGTCCGCAGATAAAATGTGAAGGAACAAAAGCAGTAAATGCTCTCCAGTAGGACAGAGACTTCAGCCACCAGCAGAGCTACGAGTGAGAACAGACAACAATGAAACCGAGGAAACGAGTGAGAGACGTGTGTTGACCACATTTATGGATCATAATCTAGTAAACCTTTATGTGTAAGTGTTAATTTTAAAGTAAATTTGATGTGTGAGAGAGAGAGAGAGAGATAGAGCAAGACCCGTGTTTTTTACAAAGAGTTTGAAATGTATTTAAAAAGTATGAAATGCTGTTCCAACAAAAAGGCCATAAGAACAGTAATGCAGGCGTAGCCTGTGATATATGTTTGTATACAAGCAGAGTCTGTGCCTTAGTGACCCCTTTTCTCTTTTTCTCTTTATATTAGTTATTTAGGTTTTTTCTATTTTCATGCTGTTATTTCTGTCTATATGTTCTATCCTCTGCGATTGCCGTGGGGAAAAAAACCAGAAGAACTCCTGAGGACTGTATGATGGATTACAAATCTCTGGATTTTGAAACTTTGCTCTCTGGGATGTAAAACAGATTAAGGGATTTTTACTCTTTTTCTTTGATTTTTGTGGATTACTTTTCTTTGTTTTTGAACCAAAAGGATATATTCTGCATGGGATTAAATACCGAGTAGAAACTTTACAATCTTCGTTCTTCATTTTTCTTTTTGACAGCATAGAAGCATAGCAAGAAAGCGCTTTTCTCTCTCGCTCAGCCCCTGGGTACGTTTCAGGAAGCCCGCACAATGGCACACATTTTATTTATTTGTATTAAATAATGTAAATACTAAACATCCTGATCCACACTCCATATCAGTTAATGGCGTCAATGCACCAATTCATTATTTGCCAACCGCCAATAAATCTGAAAGAAGAAGAAGAAGAAGACAACTGATAAAGAGAACGAATAAAGCTCACACACTTTATTCCACTGCAGAGTAGAAGAGGCCAACTAAATAAAGAAAGTAAGTTAATCTTGCCACTCTGAAGGCCCGCGGGCGGGCCATCGGAGTGATAACTGCATATTTGTGTTATGCACACAACTGCCCTGTAACGATGCGTATTAATGTGATATCTCATTAGAAAGCTACGGTTCTTGTAATTCGATTTCTGCAAACCATTTCAAGATACAATAACAACAGCAGGTACAGTTAAGTCTCTGTCAAACAAGCACTCCAAAAATAGCTGATAAAATATCGCCGTGACTCACCGATTATGATCCATAACGTGCCCCTTGTGCATGCTAGTCCAGCAAAAACGGTCTTGCTAGGTGGCTAAGGGTCCTCTCGATCGAATCCAGTAAAAGATTTAGTCCAAAACACATTAGTACGTCCATAAAGACCCACGGGGGGCTGTTGCATCATTTCAAATTAGCCAGCAGATATGATAACTGGCGATCATATTTCGGGCATAACTTCACGTTCCTTGTCAACAGAGCAGAGATTTTCATCACAAAATGGAGCCTACATTCCGCCGGTTAGATTGACACCTCATTTGAGCCAATAGGAGCTTCTATAGCCCGGCCACAGTCTGGAACAGCCAACGAGAGTCCGCTTTGAAAGACAATGCCCGCCTCTCTTCTTTGGGTATAACTCGAGCCAATCGCAACAGATCCTGTTCAAACTCAGGCTCCACATAGCCAATGAAATTACGAAGCCAAGGATATGCAGATTTATCAGATTGAATGCTGGGGAAGTTTTCTAACCTGAACTGGAAACCATGAGTCAAGTTCTTGGGACAGAGTGTGAAGACTAAAGTCTCGTTCATAAGAATTTTAAAGAACCTTGGTAAGTTCATAATGGTTAAATATGATATAGTTAACCATACATCGACGTAAATAAATTATAGTTCGAGTTTCTAACACGTAGTATATGCATTTTGACGTGGTGACGCGAGCCTCCAAATGCGTTTTTATGCGGCCGCACTCTTAGTAAACCATGTGTAAAATATAAATTTTCTGTCGTATTGTTATGAAATTTTAACTTATACTAGGCATCATGACTGTTGGCTGTGGAATGAGAGTCTTTTCAAGACTGTAAGTCCCAGCCATAGGTAGCTGCTGCCATCTGTTGGCCAAAACAAATCTAGGCGGAAGTAAAGTGCTTCTCTTTCACTGTGCTGAAAACGCCATAGCTCAATGCTAATAGCACTTACGGTGATTCTGACTGATTGTGAAGAAACTTCAGAGTGTTGCTGTTCAATAGAGACTAAAACCATACATGTACTCCCAATGGTTCAATAAGAGCTGTCAGTTTACTTTGGGTACGCGGTTGATAGGCGTCTTAGGCAAATTATGCAGGAGTGAGAAGAGGTTTTAAATAGATTGGAAATAGGATATAAACATTTCGATCGCTTCGCATATCTCTTCCACAGTTTTCAGTATCTTTTGAAAGACTATAAACGGAACAGTTCGGTGGAAACTTCACTAGAGGTTCGTGAGGCTGTGGATGAGATGCCGAGGACACTTGGTGAGGACAAAGGTGGTGGTAGGTGCCTGTTCGCAACACTTCCGTCAATAAATAATTTAAGAAACGCTCTTGTTGTACGTCTTATATTTGTATCATATATCGTTATTAATCTGATGTGCATGCATTCATACAGCCTGTGAAACATACTGAGCTCAAACACCGCGTATACAAATGACTGTCAGCTGTGGGAAACTGTGATCCACATGGATTCATTTATGATACAACACTGTAGGTGTATGTCAACCAGATTAGACATGACTGGTAACTCTCATTCCGTCCCCTCAGTGTGAGCGCACTCCGTCTGCCTCCAGGAGCCTTCAGTTTAAACCGTGTGAGCACTGTACGCTGTGATACTGTGGGAGCTAATCACAGAGCGTGTGAACTCGTGAGGCCTTAAACCCTGAACCCCTGGTGAGTGGTGAGTGTGAGAGAATGTGAGTGCTTGAAATGGTTGAATGGGACAGCACTTTGCTGCGACATATCACGTTACTATGACAACGTCAGAAAATATCATAATAATAATAATAATAATAATGATAATAATAAATCAATTTTCTATAGCGCTTTTCTAGATACTCAAAGACGCTGTACAAGGCAGAGACAAACAGAACAAACAAACAAACAAAAAGAAAAACAACAAAAAAAAAAGAATAACTGGAGAAGCTGTGCTGAATGGATCATGTAATGGAGGGTAGGGTGCCGGGGTTAACAGGTGAAGGCGAGTTTGAAGAGGTGGGTTTTGAGGGCTTGTTTGAATGATGATAGGGGGGAAGCCTCACGGATGTGGATGGGGAGGGGGTTCCAGAGGGGAGGTGCAGCAGCTGAGAAGGCCCTGTCACTCCAGGTTGGTCCTGATGGTCTTCAGAGTGTTTGCACCGGCGGACCTGAGGCAACGGGTTGGGGCGTGGAGGGGGAGGTCTGAAAGGTAGGGAGGGGCCAGGTTGTTTAGAGCTTTGTAGGTGGTGAGTAGTATTTTGAAGTCTATTCTGAATTTGACTGGGAGCCAGTGGAGGTTGCGAAGGACCGGGGTGATGTGATCATAGCGGCGGGTGGAAGTGAGCAGTCGAGCGGCAGAGTTCTGAACATATTGGAGTTTGTTGATGATTTTGTTGGGAGAACCGTAGAGGATGCTGTTGCAGTCGTCGAGTCTGGAGGTTATGAAGGCATGGATGAGAATTTCGGTGGCGGCAGAGGACAGGGAGGGTCTGAGGCGTGCAATGTTCCTGAGGTGAAAGAAGGCAGTTTTGGTGATGTGGTTGGCGTGGGGTAGAAAAGAGAGGGTGGGGTCGAGGATGATACCGAGGTTGCGGACCTGGGTGGAGGGGGTGACGATGGAGCCATCAATGTTGAGGGAGAAGGGCTGGGCTGAACAGGTGAGGGAGTTGGGGCCGATGATGAGTATTTCAGATTTGTTGCAGTTGAGTTTGAGAAAGTTCTGTTGCATCCATGATTTTATATCAGTGAGACAGGTGGTGAGAGTGGAGTGGGTGACGGAGGTGATGGTCTTGGTGGAGAAGTAGAGTTGGGTATCGTCAGCATAGCAGTGGAAGTTGAGACCATGACGACGGATGATTTGTCCAAGGGGAAGGATGTAAATGATGAAGAGGAGGGGACCAAGCACGGAACCTTGTGGGACACCGTGGGTGACTGGGGAGGTGGAGGATTTACAGTTGTTTATTGCAATGAATTGATGTCGGTCTGAGAGGTATGAGGTGAACCAGGAGAGGGCAGTGCCAGTTATGCCAAGGGAGTACTGGAGACGTGAGAGGAGGATGGAGTGGTTGATAGTGTCGAAGGCGGCGCTGAGGTCAAGGAGGATGAGGATGGTGAGGAATCCAGAGTCAGCAGAGAGAAGTATGTCATTTGTGATTATCAGTAGGGCGGTTTCTGTGCTGTGTTTTGAAAGGAAGCCAGATTGGAAGGGTTCGTAGAGATTATGGAGATTGAGGTGGGACTTGAGTTGTGATGCAACAGCTCTCTCGAGGACTTTGGACAGGTAGGGGAGGTTGGAGATGGGCCGGTAGTTGTTGGGGATGTCGGGGTCAAGACCAGGTTTTTTCAGCACGGGGGTGACAGCAGCGATCTTGAGTGTGGGGGGTATGAGACCTGAAGACAGTGAGGAGTTGATGTTGGTGATGAGAGAGGAGAGTGTGGGGAGGCAGGCCTTGACTAAGGAAGAGGGGAGGGGGTCAAGGACACCGGTGGAGGAGCACAATCATGCACAATTATGGGTATTTGTTATATATGTTTTACTCCCCGATTTGAACGTCTTCCAGGCTCTTTCCTCACAAGATGAGAGGTAGCTTCAAATAATATATTTACTTATTTTTGTCAAAACAGCTTCAATGACAAAATCAAATATTTGATGAATAAATAAATAAATATCCTGTAATTTCATGTGGATTTTTTTCCATCTTTAACCCTTAGTGTTTCTGTGTAAATCTAATTTGCAGGCTCAAAATGTCTGCGAGAGAACCCTCAAACACATGACAGTGGGACAGAACCCTCACTCGGCTCGTTCCAGATGAGCTGCACGAGAGCAGGCGGCAGCAGCAGGGGGCGGTGACAAAAAACTGCGGTCAAGTCGGACAGTTTTCAGCCGCCTTCAAAGAATAAACAGGAAGTCAAAGAAACAGTTACTTCCTGTTAGACCCGATCTGTAGGCTACTTGTAGTTTACATACCTCGTTCAGATGTATTCATGTGTTTGTAAATGTATATTTATGTGGAAACTTGCGTTATGTCTGTCTGTGAAACACTTTGATACTTGTTTTGATATGGTTTCTATAAATAAGCATTATTATCAACCACACAAGATATGTTTTTAGATTAAACCTTCATTGCACAACATGAGACTAAAATCCAACAATCTAGCATTAAGTATTACAATTACACACACAATAGTATTTCCTACAAAACGTGGTGAGTGTGCCAATCAGCTCTTTGATCCGGCGACAGCCACGCGTTTCCCATCATGCATTGGGTCATGCAGTCGGTGGAGAGCAACTGCGGCGTCTGGCTCTAGAATCTGCGACCGCCTCGCTCTCGTGAGGTCATCGTGTCTCATGTGTTCATTATGTCAGAGCAAGTCGGACACAAGTCTAACCGCCATGCATTGTGCGGCGACTGCTGGCGATCGATTCAGCGCAGGAGTGGCTCATCTGAAACGAGCCTACAGACTTTACTCCCGTCTCGGAGTGCGTGGGTGTGGAGAATGGGATGGGGTCGGTTTATGGTGTAACGTCACATAAACGTAACCAATGCGTGACTCAAGTTTCAACACGGATGTATTTAATCGAAGGACAGCTGGTTCGCTCCGCCCGTAGCGCTCAGAGTTTTACTTCGACAGAACCGACAGAACATCACTTTCTATGTGTGTTTGTTGTAATTATACAGACATCATATAAGTAGTGTTTTAATCACCGGATACAGTTTGTAAAGGAGTTTTTATCCGACAGTGAAGGAAGGGAGGCGGAGTTTCTGAGGGAAGAAGAGTTTATTTAACTTTAGAAGTGTTTCTAGTTGGTGGCCATGGCGTGTGAAGGTAACGGTATGTCAGGTAAGCTAAACGCACACTTAAAGACGTCTATTCAAGTCAAGTTAAAGTTCATATTCCTATTTCTCATTGCTGTATTTGTGTACATCGCCTGGCTGTATCCAGCACGGTGACAACATTGTAAACATGTAGATAGAGTTTGTAACGCTGCCTTGTGTCATTTAACGCGAGTAAGTCACTGTAAGCTCTACTGATGCTGTTCTATTCCTCCACAGATGCGAGGATCGGCGAGGCCCTGATCAAAGAGTGAGTCTCCTTTCTGTCATCTCACGTCTCTACAGCCCAAGATAGATGTAATGTGCTCAACAGTCAGAACTACTAATATAATAATAATAATAATAATAATAATAATAATAATGCATTTTATTTGTAACGCACTTTTCATTTAAAAAAATCTCAGAGTGCGGCAGAGCCAGTACATAGTAAAAAACATAGTTAAAACATAGTTAAATCATAGTTAAAACAAACTATAATAAAAGAAGTAGTAAGCATAAAAAAAAAAAAAAGTTAAACCAAAAGCAACCAGTCATTGTTGATTAATCGTTTGTCCCTCCATGCTCCAGTGGCTGTTGTGCTAAAATCATTTTGTATAATTTTCTAAATATGTTTGAATAATAATGAAAATAAAAATCTCTTGGCTCCATTTTATTGCCGACATGTGGATGTGTCCACATGTATCCGTCAAATCATATCAAAATTGGAGCTGTTGGTAAATTAATTCACAAGATGAACCGGCAACAGTTTATTGATTAATGGTTTAAAGGTACTGAAAGCAAAAATACCAAAACAATTGTTCTGAAATATGAAGATTTGCTGCTTTTCTTAGTCAAATGAACTTCTTGGACTGTTGCCTGGACAAAACAACCCGTTTTAATGGGCTCTTTCTTCTATTAACTGGGAAAATAATGAGCCATAATGAAAATGTCCTGAGCTCAGTATCTATAGCACAGCTGAATACTACAAAAATAATTCTTTATATAGATCAAGTTTCAGTTTCATTACTCTGACAGTTGTTGCTCTTACAGTAAATCACACCACTCATAAAGTGACTCGTATCAGGAGGACAGTAAATGGAGGGAAACAAACATCACGAGGTGTGAGTTGCTTTTTTCAGTAATGGGTTTGTCAGTTAATCGTTTCCTGTCACCATGAGCGTGGCAAGAAGCTCTGAAACCAACCCAATCCTCTTTTATTTGAAGTTGACCTAGTGTTGTCTCTCACTGTGTTTGTTGACGCGCACCAATACACCAAAGCAAATTCCTGGTATGTGAAGAAGCTACTTGGTGATGAACCGGATTGTGATTCTGATGTATCTTGTTAGCTTTGTCCTATTTCTCATTCAGAGCAGGTTTTCAGCCCATGCTGTGTTCATACCTCCGGTTCTGAAAAGTGAAGCCAAAGCTTCATGTGTTAAAGCTTCATTCTCGCTACTGACCACCAGGGGGCGACTCCTCTGGCTGTATACAAGTCTATGAGAAAATGACTCTACTTCTCTCTTGATTTATTACTTGTGATGTTCATTTAATAACTTATGGTCCATTTAGAATCAAATAGACCATAAAGCAGGGTATGCTTTAGGGCGGGGCTACACAGTGATTGACAGGTCACTGCCACAGCGTTGTCCGGACAGGCAGTTGTCTGTTTTTTCGTCCTAGAACTTTAACCCTTTCAGTGTCATTAGCTCCACCCTCTCGTGTCACTTCTGCTTCCAAAAAAACCTAGGGTTAACGGCCAGAATCACGAACTTGAGGCTTCAGAGCCGTAACCCACAAACCAATGGGAGATGCTGCGGTGACTATGTCCACTTATTACATACAATCTATGGTTCATAGTGAAAAATGACTGACCCTCGGGTGGACACGTCAATATCCGGTGTGATGCTATGTGGTGCGCGTTGAAGTGAATAATTAACAAAGAAAATCAACAGGGATTTTGACAATTTTTATAAAGTCTTCATTTTTTCTCCCCGTTAAAGGTTTTTTGGAGGAGTTCTTCCTGCTTTGATGTGACGGTCCTGGGAGAGAGGATGTCGCATGTGTACAGAATGTAAAGCCCTCTGAGGAGAATTAGTGATTTGTCATTTTGGGCTATACAAAATAAATTGAATTGCATAAATGATTAACATACGAAACATACAGTTAAGATGCTCCCATCAAAGCCACCAGACTCCAGCCAGACAATAGTCATCAAAACACACTTCATTCAAACTCAACAGAAACAAAACCTTCTTTATTCCTCTGTCCAAGATTCCAACAATCACCAACTCGCAAGTGTGTCCTTGCACCGATACGGGTTTCAGTTGGCTGAAGTACCTTTTTCAGCTGCTTTACCTCACGTCAGACAGTCCTTTGTGGAACTAAAGTCGTTATATCGCTCTCTTTAATTAAAGCCACAACAATACTATTGTTGTCATAGTGGCTGCTCTACGCTGCTGTAAAAATCACATAAAGTCAAATAAAAGGAGGCATCACTTTGTCTTGAGCTTAATTTGATTTGTCTCGTATACACTCATCAATGCAGTTAAAAAGTTACCTTCCACAGCTTCAAATGGAGCCTCTCGCCACAGTATCAGGTTTGTGACTCGGGGTGAGTTTGTGAAAGTGTTTCATCGTCCTGTTGTCCTGCAGGGTCATAGAGGAGGAGCTGAAGGACATGTCCTCAGAGGACGTCCCACTGCTCACTCCGCTGGCTGTGGAGCTGAAGACTGAGCAGGAGCAGAAGATGGTGACCCAACTGGGCAAAATGATCCGCATCATCGGCGACAGGGTCCGAGACGACAAGGAGTTCCAAGAGTGAGTCTCTCGCCCGCTGTGTCTCAGCGATCGTGATGCAATACTGAAAATAGAACCGGGTTAGATGTGTAATACGCGCTCCGTAGTTTCTTAAAATCTACTTAAACTGCATCCTGTCTCTCTTTCAGTGCAATCGATGGAGTGGCTTGTTCCTCCAGCTCTAAGTGGGACCGCTTTAAGCAAGTGGCGAACAAAGTGTTTGAACAGGGGATCACCTGGGAGAGGATCGCTGTGCTCTTCTACGTTGCCGGCAAGCTGGCCGTCAAGGTGGGTTAGCTTCTTTTCTTCTCAGAGCTCGCCTATCCATCAGAAGGTCTGGCAGTGCTGTGACCTGCCTCTATGAGGAGGGTTGTGTTCTAGCTGTAGCGACTATCAGAGCTGATGTTCACTACCAAAATGATTCTTGTTCCTGGGAATGCATCGGTCTTTGCATTACCTACTGCAGCTCCTAGCGATTTATCGGCGTCCATAGGATCGCTCAGCTAACTTTTGGCGCGTTTCACTTTGTATTTTCCATTCAAAGCTTTACTTATCGCCTCAAAAGTGTAATGTTTTAATTTGAAATTTGGGGACTTTTCCAAACAAATATTGATCTATCTATCTATCTACAGTTGTATGAAAAAGTGTTTGCCCCCTTCCTGATTTCTTATTTTTTTGCATGTTTGTCACACTTAAATGTTTCAGATCATCAAACAAATTTAAATATTAGACAAAGATAACACAAGTAAACACAAAATGCAGTTTTTAAATGGTTTTTATTATTAAGGGGAAAAAAAAATCTAAACCTACATGGCCCTGTGTGAAAAAGTGATTGCCCCCCCCCTGTTAAAACATAAATTAACTGTGGTTTATCACATCTTTGGAAAGCTGAGTTCAATTTCTCTAGCCACACCCAGGCCTGATTACTGCCACACCTGTTCTCAATCAAGAAATCACTTAAATAGGACCTGCCTGACAAAGTGAGGTAGACCAAAAGATCCTCAAAAGCTAGACATCATGCTGCGATCCAAAGAAATTCAGGAACAAATGAGAAACAAAGTAATTGAGATCTATCAGTCTGGAAAAGGTTACAAAGCCATTTCTAAAGGTTTGGGACTCCAGCGAACCACAGTGAGAGCCATTATCCACAAATGGCGAAAACATGGAACAGTGGTGATTCGTCCCAGGAGTGGCCGGCCGACCAAAATTACCCCAAGAGCGCAGCGACGACTCATCCAAGAGGTCACAAAAGACCCCAGAACAACATCCAAAGAACTGCAGGCCTCACTTGCCTCAATTAAGGTCAGTGTTCATGACTCCACCATAAGAAAGAGCCTGGGCAAAAATGGCCTGCATGGCAGAGTTCCAAGACGAAAACCACTGCTGAGCAAAAAGAACATAAAGGCTCGTCTCAGTTTTGCCAGAAAACATCTTGATGATCCCCAAGACTTTTGGGAAAATACTCTGTGGACTGACGAGACAAAACTTGAACTTTTTGGAAGGTGTATGTCCCATTACATCTGGCAAGTAATGCCGTGTAAAAGTAACACGGCATTTCAGAAAAGGAACATCATACCAACAGTAAAATATGGTGGTGGTGGTAGTGTGATGGTTTGGGGCTGTTTTGCTGCTTCAGGACCTGGAAGACTTGCTGTGGTAAATGGAACCATGAATTCTGCTGTCTACCAAAAAAATCCTGAAGGAGAATGTCCGGCCATCTGTTCGTGACCTCAAGCTGAAGCGCACTTGGGTTCTGCAGCAGGACAATGATCCAAAACACACCAGCAAGTCCACCTCTGAATGGCTTAAGAAAAGCAATATGAAGACTTTGGGGTGGCCTAGTCAAAGTCCCGACCTGAATCCGATTGAGATGCTGTGGCATGACCTTAAAAAGGCGGTTCATGCTCGAAAACCCTCCAATGTGGCTGAATTACAACAATTCTGCAAAGATGAGTGGGCCAAAATTCCTCTACAGCGCTGTAAAAGACTCATTGCCAGTTAGCGCAAACGCTTGATTGCAGTTGTTGCTGCTAAGGGTGGCCCAACCAGTTATTAGGTTTAGGGGGCAATCACTTTTTCACACAGGGCCATGTAGGTTTAGATTTTTCCCCCCTTAATAATAAAAACCTTAATTTAAAAACTGCATTTTGTGTTTACTTGTGTTATCTTTGTCTAATATTTAAATTTGTTTGATGATCTGAAACATTTACGTGTGACAAACATGCAAAAAAATAAGAAATCAGGAAGGGGGCAAACACTTTTTCACACAACTCTATCTATCTATCTATCTCATCAGACAACAGTCTGATGTTCACTGATCCAGCCATGTTATTGAATTCGGCAGCATCTTCTCTTTGTGTATGAACCTCTTTGTGTTTCTGCTGTCCATCAGATGGTGGAGGCTCACCTCCCTCAGTCAGTGAAGGACATCCTGAAGTGGACCGTGGACTTTTTCAGAAACAATCTGCTGGGCTGGATTGGGGATCATGGAGGATGGGTATGTTGGGCCTTCATTTCTTCCATGTGCTTCCTCTCAGAGCACTTTCCTCTACCATGTTGGTTCTGTGGTTACAGGAACGCAGCGATACTGCGACCTTTGTTCAGTTAGCCTCTCTGTACGAGAGTATACAGCTGTATAGATAAAGCTATATGCGTTTCCTTTTTGGCGGGACTGCAACAAGGCGGGGCCAGCCCTATGAACGCCAACGTCTGTCCCTGATATACGGAGTATAGTTTTGGAGTTTCCCCGTTGGCCGTTACTCTTTTAAAATAAGTAGGGGGGGGACCCTCCTCCATAGAGTGCCGCAGGGATGATGTCATTTTGCAGGGCAATCCCACAAGTTAGCTTAGCAGTGGTTCTCTTGACCAAAAACAGCCTACATGATTTTCCCATCTACGTTTAGTCTCATTTACCCACATGTTAGCAACTGGCTTTTTTAAGACGCCTAAAAGCCTCAAAATTCACGAGAAGGGTATCTGCTGATGTATTTTATATTGTAGAACAAAACATTAAACTATCACAAGCTTGTGTTAACCACAGACCTTATTTCAGGCATCCTACCAAAAACACATAAAAACAACCATTGACTTTGAGACGACTGAACAGGAAGTGCAAAAATGCTAACTCATTTCTGTGTTTTAGTCCCGCCCGTTTGCTCAGTGCTCCAATCAATTTCCCCATTTCCTGTTATACTTTGATATGCTACGTCTGCTCAAAGATAGCATTACTATGGAACTCAAGTTTTATTATACGCACTCACTGTGTATGTAGTCACATCTTAAGTTGGCTAATGTTAGCGAAATGCTAGCTAACTAGCTAACGTAGGGCTAAAGCTAAGTTGATCTGCTGATGTGAGATTGGGCCAGGTTTGCTTCCTCCTAATCTCTGTGGTAACGTTAGAGAGATTTTTAAGATGAGATGAATTATCGTTAGCCAGAAAAGATCATGCTAACGTTCCTTTGCTAATATTATCTCTACCTGCCGTGCCAACGTAACTTTAGTATTTGTCATTTATTTGGATATACACAAAGTCTGACATCCAGCAGAAGTTACCTGTGTGTGTGTGTGTGTGTGTGTGTCCGTGTGTGTGTGTGTGTCCCTCCATCACATACTGTAGTCCTAACTGTTGTCTTATTGATGCTGCATTCTGATACACAGAAACTGTAATACACACTTCTGCACCCGGCTAAACGACATTGACTAGCACCACCAGGCACAATAGAAAATGTAAATTAGTTACACGTGTAGCTAGTACGTTGTACTGGAAGGTGGATTTACAACACTGCAGACCAGCGAATGAGAGGGAACCATCACCACCTCGACACAGCACATCCTGCACAAACCTACCGTTCTTAAATAGCCAAGCATCAATAGCAACCGCAATTTGTTTTGTATTCACTGGACCCAGATCTTGGGGGTGAGTGCGCAGTGGAAAACAAATAGAGAAGAGCAGCTGGCACCAAAACGTGGGTCCAGTCGAACAGAGCTGTACTGTGGAGACGCGGCATTAGTCTGATACGGGATTGACAAACGATGGTAGTGTTCACATATGAGACAACAACACAGTGGCTGCGCAGTAAATTAGAGGTTAAGTTCTGGTGGAAAAGGATCTAAAAGTTTTCAAAGGAGTTTGAGGGGCTGAACATGGCTGACCCAGCTGCTGCTTCAGCTTGTGAAGCTTTATTCACAGTTTTGCTCACCGTAAGTGCACAGCAGCATAGCAAGGCCGATGGATATTTCTCCTGTTTGTTGTCACTTCTGCACCGACAATAAAACATTCCGGTGCCACATGGACTACAGATAGTGAATCAAATTTGTAAAAAAGTAATCGGCATTTAGTCTCATGAATGTTTTCCAGATGCATGTTTTCCACACCAGGTGATCAGAGCTGTCTCTCCACAGATCAACAGTTTTTCGGAGCTGGCGGTGGCGTCCGTGCAGAGTGTGTCGTCGTTGAGCTCCCACAGCTACGGCCCCGTCCTCATCTTTGTCACCGGCCTGGCTCTAGGGAGCGTCATCACCTGGAGACTAACCAGACGGCTCTGAGGCTCGCGCGCACACACACACACACACACACACACACACACACACACACACACACACACACACACACACACACACACACACACACACACCACACCACACCACACCACACCTGGGTCACCCTTATGTTCAAAAAGTAATTCTAGGCATTTGACCTGATTATAGAAGAGCAGCCTGGTGTCCTAAAAAAATACGTTTCCATACAACAAAACAAAATTTTCAATCAAAAAATGTAATTAATACTTTTTTTAAATCTTTTTACCTATCACAAATACATTCCTTTAATTTCTGTATCCTTCTTCCTTTTAGCAATTCTACCCAAAAGTCCTTCTTTTTAGAGACTTTTACCAAAAGGGAACGATTACATTATAACATTTACATTCGTAGTGTTTACAGAACATTTGTAACAAACGTATGTATTTTAAGCCAAATCTTGATGTTTTACTAAATTTTGCATTTTTATTTGGTGGTGTTTCAATTCACAAATGCGACTGTAATCCGTGAAGAAATACATTTGCCTCACAGCGTAATTGAGAATGCAAATAAGTTGTATGGTAAGATAACTTTGTGGGAGAGGCTTGAACAGATGGTTTGTTAATCAGATCTGTCATGTGCTGATCACATGTTGCCATGCGACGGTCCAATCAGTGAAATGTGCCTGAGCCACTCTACACTTCTACCTTCGCTAGTGTTGTCTATGCAAATTTGAAAGAAACATTGTGTCAAAGATAGTCAGTATTTTTCTAGAAAACATTCTGTATCATGTTAAACTGATGACTCTCTGATGACTCTCTGTGCCCTCAGAGTGATCATGAGACAGAAAATCCAAAAGTGTCGGTTAGGTTGAGGCCTCTGGTTCACAGCGGAGAACACTGCAGGTGACCACTCTGATGGAGGAGTGTTTTTTAAATGTGATGTAGCAATCAAAGAATAAGCAACTAACTAAGTTAAGATGAAACTATTTTGTAGGTTTTGCTTTTGAAGACCAGAGTCAGACAGAAGTTTTATACCAGCACAGATCCAGCTCAGGTGTCATATCTCATGTTTAAATACATTTCTTTTTCCCAGTATAGGCTTCCATCTAGTTGTAGACTAGTGGAGCTGTAGGGCTGATTAACGATGACATAAAGAGTTTCTTTATGTCTCTGTATTGTGGATCATTTTAGGGGCGTCACCATTTTAACTCTAAATCAATTATCAGTCCAAATGAGCTTTCAGTTTTGATCTTCCTTATTTATTTATTTTTCTTTCCACCCATGCATACGCACTTCCTAAAGAACACAACAACACGGTGCAGCTTAGCCTGCAGCTGCACCTTTCGACACAGAAACCACAGAACTATAACATCCTCTTGCTTCACCGAAGTCACCAGCTTGGCAATGCGCTGCCTTCCCCGTGAGTTACTGTATGTGAACAACGAGCGCATCGTTGACAGAAAACCTACAGCTCGTAGGCCGTCCTACACCAAGGCCGTTTCCATAAGTGCAACATATTTAGTAGATGGATTCTTCCTTGGACCATGCGACACTCTTCCAAGCTTCATGAAAGTCTGTCCGGTAGTTCTTCTGTTCTGCTGCTGACAGACGACTGGAAACGTAACCTCATGGTCTCAGGTGTGTTCAGTGTCTGTGAAGTCCATTTACAAACATGTACGGCTGCATATTATCATCTTTTTTTCCTCTTCTTTTTTTAACCCCATTACTTTTAGTCCTTGAACAATGGTGCCTTTTTAAAATGATAAAATCATGGTGTGAATATAAACTCCTACTTACAACCTCTGTACTCCACTGGTTTACTCTTATGGTGGTATTGCAGTGTATTTGCACAGAATCGGTTGTTTATTCGTGACCACTTTTGAAGTTCTATTTAACATGACCATGAAGTGATGTGGAAGGTCTGATTGTAGAATGTGCCCTGTGAGCTTCACTTTCCAAATGATTTCTAAGTGTGCCTTTGAGCAGCTGTTTCCTTTACCTTGGTGGAGCAACCAATGCTTTTCACCAAAGATGGAGACAAAAACATTAAAATCCAGGTCGTCAAAGATTGCCAATATAAGTGTTTGATCTTTTATTTGGTGATTTCTGGCAGTTGTATAGCAATAGCAATGTACAGCTAAGGTACAGCTGCTCATTGAGCGGTAAACTGTGATGGCTGATGTTATGAGCCAGTTCACAGATAAATGTGTCTCCAGAGAATAGCAGTAAATGCTAAATGTATGTTTGAGGTCATCAAGAAGCAGTGTGTGCATTACATACTTTGTCCACCAGAGAGCGCTGGTTTACTTGTACATTGGTCTATTTCTTGGTCTCAATTCTTTGAAATTAAAGGCATTCTTTTATCAAAATTGTTCGTTCATGTTTTTTTTTGAGTAAATAATTGTATTAAACTAAAAATGAAGATAAATAAAAGTATGAGAAGCAACAGAGTAATTCAATAAGCTTCACGTATAACAAAAACAAAGCAGTAAGATGAGATCTAGTGCTGTCAGGGAGTTATTAGAGATGATAATGATATTGAGGACCCAGAGTTGAATAAGAACCCATTGGCAGAACTAACAAACCTTTTCTCCAGGTTCATAAACATCAGGTTGCTAAATGGGATTATATGATATTAACCCTCATCCTACCAACATTTTTCATTGTTTTCTGTTTTAATTTGTGCTTTTTAAAAAATAATGATTTAAATATGAATGAGTTGTGGTCATGGAGGGGTCCTTGGGATAAAAGCTGCCATTATTATTACAGATTAGGGTATATTTTCATTTTACACGATAAACAAATGAACTGTAATTTTCCTAAAATATGATCCTTTTTTTTCCAGGTGACATTAATCACATAACTCAGTATAGTGGTGTCTGCAATCACCACTGTTTGATTAAATGAATACAACAGCAAGTGTATTAGACCTGAAGCCTTTATTTAGGATTTAGTCTATAAATAGATCTTTTTTTGACAATACGTGTGTAAACCTGAGGTCGAATCCCAAAAAAAGGCAAAGTATAACTGTCTCTGGTAAGCGTTTAGCGGCTAATGTCCAGGGAATATTTTTTTTAAAGCTTTGCTTTTGTATAGTTATTAATAGTGAATGGACTTTAATCTGAGTCTTGCACAGGTGGTCCAAACCCAATCCCAAAATGAAAACACTTTATATTCCACTCCTAATGCCCTCTTGTTTGTGTATTTGCAAAGTAAGAATGAAAGACAAGAACGCACCTTGTTTGTGTGCAAATAAGTGCGTAAGAATGGGAGAGGAGTGGAAACGTCATAATCCAGCCCACGCCACCAGTCTCACAGTGTCAGTAAGGAGTAAGAAGTAGAGAAGAGTAACTACTGTATTATGTCTGTTCCCTGTAACACATCTCAAGGCATCCATCCAACAGTTGTTTAGTTATTTCAGTCTGAATCAAACTGCCATCCCTAGAGCCATACTGCTGGCTAATAAAACCCAGTGGCAACTGCCCACATCTACAGAACAGAAGTCTCAGTGACATGTACTGAACCTGTAGGCCTCTGGATAAGAGGCCAGAGACTGATCAGGTTGTACTTTACAGTCTTTCTTACAAAGTACACTATATCAGTGTCGTTAAATGCTCTTTGAACTGAAATAAACTGGAGTCCTCCTCTTCCTTCCTGTCATTTCCCCTACATTCCCTGTGCTAAGAATAAGCTCTATCAAGTTCATGTGTGATTTGGCTTAACATAATTATACCCCGACACCGCTACCTCTCTATCTCTCTCTCTCCCTCTCTGTCTTGCTCCCCGGTGTCTCTTGTGGTCCTATAAACGGTAGACAATTAGCAGGGAAGGGTAGTTTTATTAATTAGCTGGTAACAAGGGATGAGCAAAAGAGGGATTGATTGATGGATGGAGTTGTTGAGCTTACAGAAAGTCAGATTTTACATGTTCAATGCTGTTAAGGGCTAGTATTGTAATACAGAACACATCAGAATGGACAATAGTCAGATATAGAAAAACATATCCTACTTTACATCAAATCTTCTCCTAGAGACTCCTAGAGAATGGAGAATTAAGAAAAAAAAATGTATTTCCTCAATATTAACACAGGTGAGACCATCCTTTCATACATTTACACCAAAAATATCACTCAGGCATTTCAATGAGAATGTATTGACGCAGTAGCTCTTCTGAGATCAAAGGTCCCCAACAAGGAAGTTAAAGCCATTGTTCACCAGTACAATTCCAAAATGCAGTGCGGAAATTTAGTCAAATCTGCACAGTTCACGCATGACAACTATGCACACCGGGTCCAGTGTGAATAATCTGGATTGATTTATTCCATTTACTGGTAGAAACGGTTAATCACCTTCATACAGAGCCAGGCTGTCTGTTTCTTTGGGCTAAGCTAACTAGCTGTTAGCTGTAAACCTTTGCAGGTTTCATGACTAAATCCTATTAGTTTCCTCCTTAATAGTCCCCGTGTCCACAAACAATTAAACAAACCTATCCAGACAGAGAATGTCTAAGGGGCTAACATTAACCACACAAAACATATAATAATCGGACCCCAAATTTGATGCTAATGCTAGCTGTTGTGGCTAGCCCTGTTCTTGCGACCAACATATAACGTATGGTCTCTCTCAAGTCATATATTTACCTTTATTTGGTTGTCGAGGCAGTCGTTACGGTATTTGTTGTTTAATATTGGGTTTTTGAGAAACCAAATTCATCAAATGTTCCCCCATTTTGGCAGCAGGCTAGCTATGACCCAAGATACTGAACCGTCTCTGGTCAATCCACTGATATTGTGTCTGTTGAAATATACTTTCCCCCCGCACAAATGTTCCGCAGGGGGCATTCAAGCATTCACAAGAGTCCACAAAATCATGTTTTATACATTTTGAATTAAAATCCTTGAAAGGAATTTTGATCTGTTTTTTACTGTGAATGGTCTACATGGCGATCGGCCAGATGGAGGATAAAATCCTTTCTCTATGTATTACAAACTGCTGTGCAGTGTTTATGATCCGACAAGTCTTTAAACTTGTGGATCTGTTACTCAAACCTAACTGAATGGTATTTCATCTTCTGACAGGTACTTTAGCTGACACGTAATGCTATTTGGTCTAAATGCTGAGTAGCAAATCATTTCAACGCAGGTGTGACATATGAATCCATTTATGTGGGTGTGACCGGGTATCTGACAGTACTTTGTTTCAAGCAGCAGTGTGTAGCAGGTTTAAATTGCATTTCGATCGTTATGGAAACTGGGCTTGTATATGGTTGTGTGTGTGCGTGTGTGTGTGTGTGAGAAAGATTCCAGTGATCTTTTTCCCTCTCTGTCTGTCTCTGTTCATTCATTATTAATCAACAGTGTCCCGCCCCACTCCCTGCTCATTTATTATGGCTGTGCAGTAGAACAACACTGGTAGGGGCATCCTGTGCTAGGTGCACATCTCAGGTGATGTAACATGCACTCTGGCGGCCATCTTGTAAATCCACAGCTCTCGACGACATCGGCTGTGAACAACTTAACAGTCTCAGCATGAAATCCACAAGAAAGGAATGGAAAAGATAAGAAATAACTGATATTGTGTAGCTTTAATTGACAATGTTATCGCAATACCTGACAGCGAACACATATTACTGCCACTAATATAAAGTTTTTTCGTAATAACAAGAACATTTTCTTGTATTAACGTAAGCCTTTTCCCATTATGATAAATACGTTCATGATTAACACTGTGAAACACCATACAGGAATTCACTGTCATTAACTTATATCAGACCAAACGCCACAAAACTGCCCCAGGGAGGAGAGCCGAGACAGAAGCTAAGCTAACCCAGCTAGGACCGAAGTGTGCTCCACTACCTTCCTGGATGTCTGATGCCCGGTAGCAGAAAAATAAGATGGATGAAAGCAGCGGGAGATCAGTGACTGTTGAGCCCACATCTTCACAGAGACCTGGATCCATCGTTCATCCCGGATCAAGCTGCACTCAGGTGGACATCAGGACAGAGCTCAGGACTCCGGTGGGACGAGAGGAGGTGGACTCTGTGTTTACACCATGATGCTTGGTGCTCACACAGTCAAAGTTGAGGGACAACAATGTTTTCCTCATGTTGATATTTAATGTTAAGATGTTAATGTTAAGCATGTCAGCATATCTCCCCGCAGGGTTCATACACCAAATCAAACCCAGTCGATTCCTGAATGAATGCTCACCAGTGGCCGCCCTCCATCTGGCGGTTACTGTGATAACTTACTGTAATTTCATTACTGAAAAAAATCATCACTGCAAGGTCACTGGGAGCAGCCTCGTGTGTTGTCTTTCTACCAGCTTTGGTGCAAAGGGGCCTCCAGCTGCAGCCTAGCTGGAGGTCCAGGTTGACCTCATATAGTTTACGTTTTCAAGGCAGAAGGGGAATTTAACAATTTTATGTTTTACCTGCTTAAAATGTTTTATAGTGTGATAACATACTCATTTCTTTTTTTTTATATTTCTCATTATTTCAACATATCACTTAATACAAGAACTACTTATTATTACAATTAAAAATAGTTCCAGTCAACGCTTTAACATGTAGCCTGCCACGGCCTGATAAATTGACAATGACCTCTCCTTTTATTGTTTCATTCCTCTTTTCTCTTCCTTACACTGAAAGAAACTAGAGGCGCATTGTAAACCGTCATCTTGTGCAATTTTGGGAAACAAGACGAGGAGCAGAGGAGGCAGAGTGCGAGAAGAGCAGGAAGGGAACAAGGAGGTCAGAGGGGGCACACGGAGAGCTTGAGGTAGAGAGGAGACGACGAAGTGAGGAGGGGGAGAGGAGGAGAGGAGGAGGGGGGGGGGGGGGGGCACTGCAGTGTTTTTGGTCTCCTGCAGTTCTGTCTTTTGGCCCTTAGATGTCCCCGTGCACCACCCTGCAGTAAAACAGATCCAAGTACAGATGCAGAAACTGCACCGCACAGAGGGTGCGTGTGTGTGAGAGAGAGAGGGCATGAGAGACATCCAGGTACAGACTATCTCTCTTTCTGTAGCAACAATGCAGTTGTATGCCCTTGATCTTCACGTCACTGATGTAAGAGGACACTTTCTGCCGCTCTCGTAAAAGGAACGGTTCGACATTTATGGAAATACACTTTCTGTGATGAGAAGATGAATTTCAGTCTCATGTCTGTGTGTTATGTACAGAGCTGGAGTCAGGACGTGGTTAGCTTAGCTTAGCAAAGGGCCACCCTTGGTTACTGTTGCTATGCCTATCAAACTTTAGGTTCAGACACAGACGCAGTTTCCATCCATCTGTTTATGTGAGAGGATATATCGATAAAAACAAAGTTGACAAAGTGCAATGGAAACAGGCTTAAAGAATACATCCTGACATG